CCCACTCCCCTCAATCCCCAGTATTGTCACAGGCCTTAGCGCCTTTCAAAGGGCACAGCAGCAGCATCAGCAGCTCATACGAGGCAAGTAACTTACCATCTGTTTGCTATACATAACCATGGAAACAGAATCTCTTTACCAGATACTTTGCATCTATCAACAAAAGTAATGACCCACTGACTAGAAAGGCTAGTCAGAAAAAACTTTTTAAAAATATTCCGCTTTTATTCACGGCACTTCTGAAATAATCTCCAATCTGGTGTATCTTTTCAACTTATTAAAATTTATCTCATAATACCCAAAAGAAAACCAACCAAAAAAGTCTTTCTTGAAAAGGATAGTGAAGAAAACCATTTATCCTTGATTTTACTTTCAATATTCTATTATCAATTACTAGCTTGGAAAGAAGGCCTTGAAATACAAGAGCAAATCTCTGAGATATGATATGTCAATAATACTCGATGCCTAACAGCATTGTCAATCAAAATATTACTCAGAATTTCCCGCAAACCAATAAAGATCCACTCCACATCCGTTTAAACATCTTCATCTCTCTTCATCCCCTACCCTAGTTCCTTCTCCGCATGAAAATTGGTTGAAATCAAGAACCGAATTCCATCGATTGGAAACTTCATCCCATGGCGAGCACTCCAGCAACAAGTAGTCATTTTCGTGCTCGTTCTCGGGTCTGAATAAATTGTCCCGCGGGGCGATTTCTTCCAAACACCTGCCTCGTTTGATCCTCGACTCTGTCCCGGGAGCTGGTTTTTGTTTCGGCTCCGTCACATAGGAGCGGATCACTTTCATGCCGTTAGTGCGTCTCTCTCTTTATCATTATCACATGTATTTTGATGAGCTAGTTTGTTGTCTTCATGGCGTGTGTTCTTCCTCTCTTTAACAAATATGTCAGGGTTTTATAGCAGGGTGCTCTTACATTTTACACAACGGTTTGCTTTGATTGGCATTTTCTAGGAAATCCAGGGCCAACTTCACTTCAAGACTTCTTTTCTTCTCTCACATCTTTAAGTTTTGTCCAACTTTAGCTAAAACAAAAAACATAACCAACTGCAGAATTCACTGACAACTAAACATTAAACATGTCACCATCGAAAACCGCCTCATTTTGTGTACAGATGTTTAAGCAGAGCACGAGTACACATTCTTTTTTGTTCTCAAAACAAAACAAATATATTTAATCATATAATCTATTTATATGAAATGGTAAGCAATATTCAAGGTCAAAGGTACTCACCCATGAAATATTCTGGATACATGCCTGGAGGTTTAGGTGATGAATAATTAGGGTCTGAATGATAGTCTTCTGCACCTGGAGAATACACCTGCTAGCAGAACAAGAGAGAGAGAGAGAGAGAGAGAAAGAGAGGGGGGAGGAAAAATACAAAAAATTAATATATAGACCAACAGAAATCTTCAACAAATCCAGAAAAGGATAATATGGGGAGGGGCGGGCGAAATGCACTTAAGAAAGGTTGCATTTCTTAGATTAAAAGAATAAATGACAATGTAAACACTTGTACAAGGCTTATGTATGAGCTTATTCAGTACACATGAATTCAAAAAGATATTTTGAGAATTCCATTTTTTCCCCAAACACCCATTTCAAACAAAGATTTCATACAAAATACGAGTTTTCACCTATTTTTCCTGTAAAATAACACAGAATAGAAAGAAACACAAATCAAGAGTTTCAAGATATATGTGAAGATATATTTATGAAAGTTACATCCTCAGTCATTCAATTTTCACAGCTTTTCTGGCTTAAACTTCATCACTAAAACTTACAGATATACGTTTTCCTCATATAAACAAGAACAGAGCATGATGTATGCCAGTACAGGGAAGGGAGAATGATGAAATAAGGAGAAATGAACAGAACTTGTACCCCAAAAAAGAAAAAGATTATTTATTGATGCACTTTTTACAGGTTGAGTAGTGCTGTGAATACAAACAGCTACATCAGTGAGTCTCATCTTGCCTCAAACGTGCAGCATCTTCCACTAATCAAATAAACTGATTGATTACTGTATTGCAGAAATTAGAACAAATTTGAGCACAGGGAGCGTGTGCCATCGACCCCCGATGACTGCACAAGAATTTCAAAAATCTGAGCCCCGTATTAAACCTGCAACTCTTCCCCGATACACGTTGGCCAATAAGATGACTCCTATTGATTTGATTTCACAGAAAGATGGTAAAAGAGAAAGAGCTTGAAGAAGAGAGAGAGAGAAAGAAAGAGGAGCTAAAGTAAGAGCAAGGATCGTGCTTCTCCTCATAAAAATGCAATTTCTTATTTTTCACTGCATTTGGGCCCGAGGCTCTTATAAACCTACAGATCAGGCACACCTAAAATTAATTCAGCTTACGATATCATGGTGGCACCTTTCTCAGTCCTGCATTTCACTCTATCATATGAAATACATTTCAAACTTGACACAATCCAATCCCTTTCACTCTTCACTTTTTATCTTTGATAATGTATTATTAAAAGTTCATTTTCCCTGAATTTTGTTCATCATTCATTCTCAGTATGAAGACCATACAAAGCTATATAAAAAAAGTTCTTCTTTTAAACTACTGAAAATTCTAACCCATTGAATCTTAAACGCAAGATAACCCAGGCTGAGTGACTGAGTCTAAGGGAAAACTTTGATACACAATATGAAATTGTATCAAATAGCTTGATATAATCATATTTTGTAATCTCTCACTCTCTCTCTATCTCTTTCTATCTCTCTATACATATAATATATAAATCTATCCATCCATCCACCTACCTAGCTGACTAGCTGGCTCTCCCCATATCTGTAACTATGCATCTACATGTGTATACTCTAAACAAAACCCTTTACTCTTCAGAAATTGTACGAGTATTAGGCCAATTTAATATTAGATCTATAGATACACCTCTCTTTTCAACACTCCTGCACCACTTTCTGCCTTCCATTTACTCATTACTCATGTCTCTCAAATTAATTTTTTGGTGGGTTGGGCAATGACCAATTTCTGCTTCTGTCCTTCGTATTACAAAGTGGGCTCAGCTGTGTAACAGAACCAATGATATCAACTAATTAATTATCATTATTTTAACCATTTACAACGACATTAATTCTTCTTTCTTTACCCAAAATCTTATTTTGGGGGGAATTAAGTTTATTTGTAATCCTTGTTTGAAATTTATGAACTATCACGTTTGCTCAGTTATTACAATGGATTTACAGAATTGTATTAAAGAATGAAATTAATATATAAAATGCATACATGTATAAAACATCTAGTAGTGAATACTGAATTACTTGACAATTGCAAAAAAGGTGATATTTGTGTTTATGCAAGTCAATATACATGTACTCATTTATGTTTTTGTTTATTTGCTTGTATTTATTTCTTCATTTGTTCCTTTTTTTGGGGGAAAGGGTGCTGGTTCTCTGATTTTCTTTTGAGGAGTTGCTGCAAACCATCAGCTGGCCTTCTCTCGCTGTTTGTAGATATATTGACACCCTACAAGTCATCTTTCATGGTGGTTGAACATAATGATGATAGTTTTTATCCCTCATGAATGATGTGTGTAAAATGATAGGTTCCGAAGATGATTTGCTAGACCCTTTCCATCTCACTGCCCCCTTCCTCATCCCCCTGTTCCTCATTCTAATTGATTTGGGTTTGATGTGGATGAGGCAACAATTTGGCAACCACCTCAAGCACTTTGTCACTTCTCTATTCTCCCATCTAAAAAGCCGAAGCGTTGGTGAGTAGGAAGGAGCAAAGCCGCCGTAGCTCGATGGGAGCAGCCTGGGGGTATGCACCACACCAGAGACACTTGTCAAATCCGCAGATCCTCCTTCCATTTCTAATATCTCGTTACGCATGCAAAACAATCGCCCGCCCGCAACAAAAAGGCCATCCAAAATTGAATCTCTGCCTCCTCTCCCCCTTGCCAGCTTCTCGCAATCGATCGTTATGGAGGGGGGATGGAGAAATTGGTATAATTGACTGGCACCAGGCATTTCACACTAGCGGCCAGAGTGCAGGCAAAGGTTCTAAACGGGAGAGAAGGTTGCATGAAGCTGTCATCCATGCCTCTAGCAATGCAACAGCAACATGGGGCTTTACATAGGGAACATGTAACCGGAAAACAACCACGGGTTTATAAAAGCAAAATTGTGCATCTAGAATACCACACCCTGGAGAAGAAAACTGATGTTTCTTGTATCTGGGTTGTAACTATCGGAAAAGCAATACTACAACACAGCATTTTGTCTATTTCTGTATTTCAAAGTTGCAATGTTGCGACTGCAACTTTGAGTAAAATTGACTTGCATGGCTATATGTATTGTCAAATCTAGTCCTGATCTTCATCATCACTCTCATAACCAGATTCAATTTATTAATAAAATTCAACAACCTTGAGATGAAGACTCCAAATAGCTTATGGCAAACGCTCAATAAATCCATAATCCCAACATTGGTTTCCTTTTGATAATCTTTTCTCCAATGAAAGCCAATTGCTTTCCAACTCACAAGGGAACTTCAAGAAAGAAGATATCATCACAAAAGAAGCCAATCTGGACATGAACACTTCATTCATATTTTATCTATTAATCATGTCATAACATTCCCTTTAAATCATCTAATTGCTTTACTAGATCATTCACAATGAATCATAGTGAACATACAGCCAGCTAGCTAGCTCTCTCACAGAGAAGGGTCCTACATGGCGAGGAGAGGGGGAAAGACAATTAAGTGTGCGCCAGTACAAGGGCAATGAACTATCCGACTAATCTAGTAAGTCGCCTGTGAATCTGTTGCGCCAGTCTGAGAGTTAAATAAAGATTGATATGTCACATGCGGTCTGACCAAACAAACAATTCTCCCTCATTGGTCAAGAAAAAGTAACCTAGCCTGGACAATCGTCCTGATGAGCATTTGTCTTGAGAGTCGATATTCTTATAGCTAACATAAAGGTGTTTTTTTCTTCCAAAGACGTCTGCTTATAACTTTGTGTAACTTCCATAAGAACTTGAGCAAATACCAAGTTATAAATTTTCCTTCTCTCTAAAGCATCCTCCTTTATTTCTTCTTCAAGCTCATATTCTAAACATATACATGTGTCTAGACATGCATTTCACAGAACTCATTTTATAGTTAGTGACTAAAAGACTAAACAGGAAGAACTTTTAAATTTCACAGATTTGTTTTTCTTTATTGATTTTCTAAGTAGGGGATGCCATAAAAAAATGGGATAACTCTGTATGGGCATCACATTATTGAAAACACTAAGTGTGGTTACGGGTAAAACTATCTTTTCACACAATTTTGGTTTCTGTTTATTATTTCTCCTTATTATTAAATCTAGAAGTAAATGTCTTGTAACACATTGTCAAGTACGGGAACCAGATGATCTCTTTATTAATCATCTGGGTATTTAAAAAAGAGCACAAGAGCATCACCAGTAAGCCCTATCATTTTGTTTTTTAGTCATATTTCATTCCACTTAACTGAAAATTGAAAGATACAAGGCTAAACAAATTAAATAGTTGTTCTTTCTTCCATGCTTAACTTACAATCAATTAAGTAGTAAATAAAGAAATCACAATAAATATCATGTCAATGATTGATGACTGATTGATTTCAAGTAAATTACTTTTTTCAAGAAACCTACACCTAAAAGATGAATAAGATTGCATAACTCATCCTATTGATCTAAAACTTGCCATTATGGGACATTTCGTTTACACAGTTCTTATTATTATTATCATGATTACTATTTTTATTGATTTTTGTATAACTGTTTTCTTATTTTTCTGGAAAGAAAATAAGTGACACATTAAAGATCAGTAATCAATATCTGCTTCCTTTATTATTATTATTATTATTATTATTATCATTATTATTAATATTATTTCATTTCTATTTATGTTTAACTTCTATTATGGTGTTTGACATTTTGTACAACTTCCCATCCTCTGAACAGCATGGGAAACATTGAATTTTTGCTCAAAGCCTGGTTAACATTTGAGCAGTGAATGAAACAGGTGGAATCGTAGTATACTGCTCATTGGCAATCGGGAGGGATCGTCTCTTAGAGGGGTTGGCATAGCATGTGATACTACAGTCAGGTAATGCAGTCGGGCAAGCAGGTGGGACTCACACATGGACGGCAAGGAGTGAGACTCGGTCACAGGTGCACCATCAATGGTGCCCTACCCCCCAATGTTGTGATACAGAATCAAAACACGAACGAGCATAGGGGGAATACCCTCCTCAGAGAGACAGATGGGGAGAGAGAGAGAGAGTGTGTGTGAAAGAGAGAAAGTGAGAAGGAGAGAGAATTATCCAGGCCATCTTCAGTAAGGAAGAACCCAAACACAGCTGGTTGAGCATCCATCAGCAGTGGGCCTGTATCAACACTCTCACAAGTCTTCAAAGTGTGTACCGGTATGGGCAAGTAGCATACACCATCTTTTAATATTATGTATCCGATGTTAGTGGGAATTACATTTTTCAAATGTTTAAATTGATAGAATACTTCATGTAATACAAATGTATAAAGATCTTTATCCAACTTGGTTGAAACTCAAATGATCCATTTGGAATAGCAAAATGATCCATTTGGAATAGCAAAATGATTTTGTTAAATTCTTTATATTGTTTTAACTCCGATCAGGAGGATTGATTTATAAACAATTATCTTTTATTGATGTGTGCTGCTACATTCTAAAGGTAGATAGTGACATTTCGCCCGACAGATATCAAATGAATTGAGACCATTTTCGCCAATAACATACTTATATATGTATGTACTTATATCCATGTTTTAAAAGTGCAGTTGAATTTCTGTATCACAACATTGATTCTGTTTGAATTGAAGCAGTAAAACTAGCGGTTGAGAGCAGAATTTGAATTAAATAAAGAAAAATAACTTCTCAAAGTTTTGCTGTCCAGATTGAAAATTGAAATATTCATCATTGTACTGCTCTCTCAGTATACTATGAGACAAATTATGAAATATCTTCTTCTTTGATCTGAAATCTGAGCAGTCATATCAAACTGTCATACTTACAGACATTGCCGGATTCTGCTGTAATGATATACACATTGGTTGGTCCAACTCTGAGTGAGAGTAGTAACTATTTCCACACCACATGATCCAAAGATGATCGAAAAACACACTACACAAGGAACAATCAATCCACTTGCTCTAAAAGGCAGTTGATAGACTGATATCTACGGTTGCTTTCATCCGCTTGCAGTCAAGAAAGTTCTGGTGTGGTACAACAAGCCAATCACTACTTTTCTCTTAGATAATCCCTGCTCTCCTTTATTTTTAGTAGCAGCTATACATTACTGATGAATTGATTTGATAATGTAGCTGGTGGGTAGTGTATGATGATTAGTAATGCAACATTACTAGGTTTCCTCTCAGAGGGTTGTTACATAACCTCAAACCCCCTCAGCTTCTCAAAGTACCATCACATTTGTGAACAAAGGTTCAAATTTACTTGTTGGCCTCGTTTAATTTGGATATTCAATAATACCCACATCTATCCTGTCTCCGAAATCTGCAGGGATACTTTTTTGAATCGGTACAATTACAAGTGGAAATCAAATCCATGCAGACTAGATTCAATAAAACAATTTTAAGAGTGTACATATGGGAAGTACTTTGCCTGTCATATGTACACAGAAAGTCTGCCAAATCAGTGGTGATAAAGTCAATATTATGCAGTCAAAAGTGATAGTATAAAGGGAAAATGAAATTTATCCAACAACCACAAACTCCTCCTTCCACTATATCCTTTTCGTCATTTCTTTATTCTCCTGTAAGACTGGCTGGCACAAAATCTACACATATCTGATCTCAAGAATACACAATATGCAAAAACAAGTCAAAGCAACAATATAAAAACAGTGGAAAACTTTGCCTACTTTTTTTTTCTCACACAAAGGCCACCTTAGCAAACTGTATCAAACAATTTGTTCTTTGCTGGCCGGCCAAAAGCAATCATGACGCCAGGATTGGCTTCTGATCAAAGCAAGGAAGAAATCGTCATAGCAAGTTAATTGGATAGAGAGAGGGAGAGAGAGAAATTTGTAACCCAACATTTAATTACACAGGGTCTGTCGTTACCAATTAGGAAAAAAACAGCACCTGAGCACCGGTGCTATAATGAGAGTTGCATTCTCTCTCCTGATTCCACTATCAATGTTGTATACAGTCAACATCGTGATAGTTCTTTGAATACACCCTCATTATAAGTCCATGTCACACTGCATAATTAAAATCAAAACTTTGCTAAATTATCATATTTTTCTTCAGGGTACCATCTAACTTTTGAAATACATGTTGGCACCTAACTCACTGAGGTGAAATGAAGCAATGGTATTGACAATGGAATAGAATTCTTTTGAAATTCCTCTCATAGCTATAATGATATTCATGATTTTAAAGCTGTTTGTATCCGTGCAGGAGTTTAATTTCTATCATTCCTATATTGAAAACTAAAATATAATTTTCCTTAGTAAACATTGAACAATGTTCATTAAAATTTGCAAAATAGTTCAACTACTTTTTTAACCATGTGAAAATGTAATACCACACCATTAAAGTAGTATACATGTGTTTGTGTAACAAGCTTCAACTGTGAATCAATATTTTGTGTGGACATCTCGTCCTTATTACATGTAGTTTGTCTTTTTCTCTGATTAAATGATTTGGATGTCTACTTGCAAATTTTGGGTGACTTCATGCAGTTATAGTTCTTTTAATAATAATCTTGATTTTCAACAATTAAAAAAAAAACTTCAATAACAATTCATTATTAGTGCTAAAAGGTTCATAAAATATATTTATTTGTATTATATATCGTTTTACATTTTTTCAGTGCTACTTTTATATGTGGCTTTTGACCAAAATGGATTGATTGGCAAATATCTTCACATTTTTTTCTTCACATGAATCTTGTGCCAAACAAATTTAAAGGAGAAGTCCATCCTGATATTAAGTTTGTTTTAATAAAAGCAAAAAATGAGAGAAACAAATAAGTGAAAGTTTGAGGAATAGGAAAGTTATGAATTTTTTGTAAGTTGTCATCAGTGAAACACAAATTGGCAACACAGTGACGTAACTTGCGATCTCCTCTCAAATTTGCTCTGTACAGAAATTCAAAAACTTTCATTTTCTTAGTTCTTGATGATGGAATAGATTGGTTCTATACAGGGCTTGTATAAAACAACATATTAGCAATAACTGTATTTAGGGTGAATGTATGATTTATAATTTTCTTTAGGGAAAATATAGGCAATTGAAGTTTTTTTAAACATGGCAAATGGAAGGGTCCCTCTCATGTTACATCATAGAGTTGCCAAATTGTGTTTGAATGATTGCACCTTCAAAAATTCAACACTTTCTTATTTTTAATTGGTTTTTGTTTAAAATTTCATCGACCCATTTCTCTTATTTTTCTGCTTCTATTAAAACCAACTTAATATCAGGGTGGACTTCCCCTTTAATATCTGTATCGAGTTAACCTATTAGTGTAGATAATCCAGCATACATGATACTGGAAATAATGAATAAGCAATAACACAATTTATTTAATACTTAGGCTGTTAGGCATATTACAAGTCTAACCGAGCCAGGAATTACCTTAAACTAAGAGTTTCCAGCGATATGTGACAGAAATTTTTTGAATCAAAGACATTGACATGCAGACCAAGAAACTACACAAAGAGGCTGAAACTAGGCTAGAATGTTGTGTGTGAGTGTGTGCGTGTGTGTGGAGAGTGTGAGTGAGTTCATCATCAGGGTACGATCCTCACATTCCACAAACCTCGTCTCATCCCATTATCTCTTACCCTACTACATTTCATCCCACCGGGACTAAACACTACACCTATTCAATCGCAATAAGCCTTCATCCTTCCTTCCTGCCTGAGCAGCCTGACCAAGCAACAATCAATTATTCCTCTACTACGCAAGTCTGACCGACTGATCAAGTTCTCAAAAACAATGCACAGCTAATGGAAGGGTTGGGGGGGGGGGGGGGGAGTGAGGATTCAAATCAATGCATGCAGATATCAAAGACATATTTTTAATATCAAGTATCTTTTCCTAGGTAAATCAATCAATAATTGATAACACCAAGGTGAAAGCTAATCGTCCTATCACTAGTGTTTTTAACATGTCAACACAGCTACAGTGAGCCACGGGCGTTTAGCATGATATTGAGATAACAATATAACGTTTTAGGAGATATAAACATGAAAGATTTACTGCCCTCTACACTACGACACTGTCATCACTGGTAAACTCTCTCTCGCTCTTCAGCTTAACAGAGCTCTTATAAACAACACAAAACACACAGCGCTAAATATACACATTGATGCATCTAATGCCACTACATCCACCAATATATTACCCGAGGAGCGATCTCAAACATTTGGAAAATGCACTTACCGACATTCCGGGAGCTTTCCTTCTCTTGTGCGCTGAAAAAAAGAAAACCCAAAAGAAGGAGAACAAACTTGAGTTTGGCTGGCTGAAATAAGTAATAATTTGATTTGCAAAGACTGAGCAGACAGGATGACAAAGTTTGTTGCTGATCATCCTTTCTTGAAGAGTGCCCTCTATAGTTACAGTACAGACAATCAAGTCATTGTTCTTGGGCTAGCTGGCTGGATAGATGGATGGATTTTTCCTCTTTTGTTGTTGCACATTTTCATCGCTGATAAATTTCATAACGTCAAAATAACAGTTACTCAGAACCTACAAAAAAAACATAATCCTTACCATTCCCTTTACAAAAGCAACAGTAAAAAATGATACTTTTTTCATTTAAATACTAGTATTTTCTTGTTAAAGATGCAGGAACACTCATAAACCATTTTAGAGATTTTATTTTCCTTTTATGTGTTGATTAATCAAACTAGCAACACTTGGTGGTTGCTTCCAAGCACTTATGCTTGTAGAAATATCTTGCAGCACATAAAACAAATTCTTCTTCATAGATGTGCAAAAAAAAATTGATTTGTCTTTCAGCTTGCCAAAGCCCAAAGAATTCAGCTTTTGTGCCCATCCTTGAATATATTAAATATTGAACAGTCCATGCTGTATAGCATCATTCTTAACGACTCTGTGGTAGCAGTTAGGGGGAAACGTTGATTATTCAAATGCACCTGTTCGCCGTACTTTTCCTTTATCTTCATCCTACGCTATGCGTTTAGGATCAATCACTCTTTATAAATGGCCTCTATTACTGGAAATCTCCATCAAAAATCTCTCTCTCTCTCTCTCTCTTGAATGATTTCTACTTGTTGTATGGCCATAATTTGTACATCTAAATCTAGTTTTATTATCATGAAATGGCATCTCCCTGGGAAGTGCAAAGTATAGGTCTTATCCCACTATCATCTATGATGAATTATTCAAGTGTCAAAGGAATGAGATTCCCGAGAAAGACCTAGATGCTCTCTGATAAAATGTATGCTCCATCATAGGTGCATAATGGCTGGCCCTCACATATTGAATTTTAGGTGGGTGGTTTCAGCTACATCCTGGTAGCCCCCAACTATTAAAGAGTTTATCCGGCATCAATTATGTTGAATTAATTTGTGCACCAAAGAGAGGGGTTATGAATTGTTTTGATCTGTTTAACTAGTTAAGATAATTTCCACCATAAAAACTACCCTCGATAATTTCTTAAATTGGAGAAATTACAGGCTCCTGCTACATCATAACATGAATACCTGTAAAGCAATTATCAAATTTAATATATCTACTTTGTATTTGAATAAACTTGAATTTTATAAACACTACAAGATAGATGGATGAATTATCCTCATCATAATCTTCTTGATCATATATATTTTTTCGTTCAATGAGAATAAAATACTTACGTAGTAAGGAAGGAGGGTCGGGCATGAGTGAAGACCGCCTGCGGTTATACATATAAGGTGAGCCCGGTTTGTTGTGCGGAGAAACCGAACCACTGGGACTGGTTATGGACAAGTCATTGCCTCCTATTTGGCCGCCCATGTTCTGCAATGAAAGAAAATCAAAATCAATTATTTCATAGCAGCTACCTTAAAATACAATTCAAAAGGTGCCATTTCCCTTTTAAAAATCAATTTTCTTTGTAGTGCACCCAAAATGCAAAAATGAAATGTGAATTAGTTAACCAGAACTTAATTCTACTTTTCATTTTCTGCCACGTATGAACTATAGTATTGGAGGACATTCGCTCTGTCATTATAGAAATGACATACAAATCAAATTTAATGATGGCACTTTCGAATAATGATAATCACGTTGTTAAAACAATTAGAATAACATTTATTATGACAAACACCATTTCTTTATGTTTTTACACACTTTTCACATACATGTTCAATATACTTTCTATTTTCATCATATCCAGCATAAATTTGCTCATTAAAATACCAACCATGCATGTTTAGAAGCCTGCATCTTATCATTCTCAT